CCTCGGAGGCTGGGCACATGTCCGGGCAGGTGCCCACAGGCAGCTCGCAGCCGGACATGGTGGGCTGGGGAGAGAGGATGGGCGCTCAGCATCCCGAGGACGGCGGCGGCCCCTCGCCCCATCCTGCAGGAAGTGGGGGGCACGCCGAGCCCGACGGAGGATCGGAGAAGACTGGGCGGGGTGTAAACGTCCCCGCCGGCGTCGGCAACCGCCCTCCTCTCACCGAGTCAGTTGCTTCCCACAAAGCTTGGAGCGGGCCTCCCGAGATGCACTGCGCTGTAGTTCAGCGCCGCACGCTCAGGACCGCAAATGCCCCCATAATGCGCCGCGCACAGCCCGGGCCACTCCCATGATGCACCGGCTTGTAGTTCCCTCCCACAACCAATCGCTTTGCAGCGGGGCGGGCAGGAGCAGAGCCAAGCCTCCCCAGGATCCTGCGCACGTCAGGGTCCTCGTTTGGCTGTGGAGACCCACTTCTGCAAAACGGATAACCCCGCTTCGGGTTCCTCTCCATCATCCATCCCCGTCGACCAATAACCTGGCCCCGTCAGCCTTACTGTCATGCTCCCCTGTTTCCCTGGAGACTATTCTCCCCATTTTGTAGATCCAGGGTCAGCAAATTTTCTGCAAAGGGCCAGAGAGTAAATGTTTTGGGACTTCCGGTGGCAACTACATACCTCTGCTACCAGTCAATCCTTCTGGGGTAGTGAGAAAGCAGCCATGGACAATACTAAATGGATGAACCTGGTTGTAGTCCAATAAAATTGTATTTTTAGATACTTAAGCTTCATTTTCACCTGTCACAGAACATTATTCTTTTGATTTTTTTCAACTATTTAAAAAATGTAAAAACCATTCTAGCTCACAGGCTTTACAAATAAAAAGGTGGTGGGCCAGATATGGCTGCAAGCCGCAGTTTGCAGACCCCAGTTCTAGAAGGATAAACAGAAAGTTTAGAGCTACTGCCCACACATCAACATAGGCAGGATCAAAAGTGTGAGTCCCTGATTCCATGCTGGCGGGTGTGGTCAGGGAACTGAGAAGTCATTATTTTTCTCATTCTTGGTCCAGTTACATACAGAAATGGTCTCTCGAGTTACAAGACCAGGAGATAGGGCAAGTTCCAGGGAGAGGAGAGGGGGGTGGCTGGCAGTGCTGGAGTCCTGGGGAAGGGTCCGCTCCCTCTCAGGGTGGGACTTTGGACAGGTGCCGGTGCAGGATTTCCTCTGCCCGCTTTAGGTACTCGGCTGCCTTCTTCTTCACTCCTTCCCGCCGGGCAGGCGATGGGTCACCTGTGGAGAGAGAATGGCTCAACTGAGCTACTGGGTTCAGAACCCCTGTCTAGACCCTTATAGTTCACAAAGCATGTGTCTTTCCCCTTCCCTGGGGATCAGATCTATCTTCCCATTTTATAAACAAGAAAACTGAAGTCACAAGAGGGAGAGAAACTGCCCAAGGCTTTACAGCTGGTCGGTAAGGAGCAATTCTCATCCTTGACTTGCTTGTTCTTCACTTTCCCTTCCCTTCACTGCACCATCTGGGACCCCAGGCCTGACCCTCCTCTCTCCAGTCCTACTCACCGGGAACTCCCTGAAGCAGGATGTGCACGCCGTCCCGGTAGCCCTGCAGAGCTGCAGCGTAGGCGCCTGCCTTCTCATCCCGCAGGGCCTGGGTGATGAGCTCGGTGGCTTGGCTCACATAGGCAGGGGTGGGCCCTCCTTCCTTGTCCTCTTCCTCCTCCTGTCCTCCAGGCTCCCAGGCTTCCTGGTCCAGCCTCCCAGACTCTGCCTCCATTGCTGTCAGCTCACCTATGTGGGTAGGACTGGGGCCTGCTCCTTCTGCAATCAGATATGGAGGACTCAGACTACACTGGCCGTCCCTTTCCCAGGGCCTGCTGCCCATCCCCAGACCTCTCTTCCCATTAGGGGACCAACCTGGCCCAGGTGGGGAGAAGCAGTGCCTGAGCAACTCCGAAGCCACTGTGCATAGAAAGGTAGCCATGATCTATTTGACTGGTGGAGTTCATATGCTTTTGTAAAAACAGCCTACCTTCCTAATTCTTTCTTTAAAGTACACATTAACTTTTTTTTGCAAGCTCTGGGCCACTAGTCTTACGTTCCTCCTGGCTATAGTTGATCTATCAATCCAAGAATTCCCTCAATAAAGTTTAATTGAAGGATGCTAGGCCAACTACGCCAGGCCAAGGGTAGAAATACTCCAAGCCTTGGAAACTTAGGGCTTTATTTAAAAAAAAACACATATTTTTATTGATTTCAGAGAGAAAGGGAGAGGGAGAGAGAGACAGAAACATCAATGATGAGAGAAAAATCATTATCACATGCCTCCTTCATGCTCCCTACTGGGGATCAAGCCCACAATCTGGGCATGTGCCCTGACCAGGAATTGAACCTTGACCTCCTGGTTCACAGGTCGATGCTCAACTGCTGAGCCATGCTGGTCGGGCTTAGGGCTCTTGTTGAGGCCCCACATGCGAAGACACTGGGTAGTAGGTATCCTCACATTACAGAGATAACGCTCATATATCCCCCAGGACTGGCAAAGAGGTGGGTGAACATCCCCTTTGTAGCCGATACAAAAGAACACTAGAGATCTGGTGAATCTGTGATGAAAAGGCCTTTGAAGGCAAGGTGCAGGAGCAAGAAGCACCATGGCACACCGCTGGCCCAGAGAGGGAAGTGTGGGTATCTCTCCAACCCCATCCAAGTGACCCCATGAGCAGCCCAGGGCTTTATTTCAGAGAGAAAGGGAGAGGGAGAGAGAGACAGAAACATCAATGATGAGAGAAAAATCATTATCAGATGCCTCCTTCATGCTTCCTGCAGGAAGGGAAGATGCCATCTCACTTCCCAGCTGTGCCTGCAGCCCTCCCTGAGTCGCTAATGGAGAGAAGGCAGAAGAGTTCTTGGGGTGCCCTAATATTTGAGTTCGGGAGTTTGGTGTGAGATGAAGAGAGACAGTGCCACTCTTGTCTGGAGCTTCCGATGCTCAGAGGCCCACAAAAGTAGGGCGAGAAGATGAGGCAGCATCTGAGCAAAGTTTAGTTGCTGGCTTTGGGGGTCAGGGTTTGTGAGTTCTCCCACAGGCTGAGGGGGTGTCTCACGGGAGCCACCTTGGAGAACTCTTAATAGGGCTCCTGTCTAGGTGTCTGGCCACCGGGCAGCCCAGACTGGGGCAAGGCAGAGTATTTGGACACCTGCCCCTCAGAGCCGGCACATCAGTCCCAGTGACACCACTCCTGCCTTGTCCCCCCAATTCCTTCCTCCTCCCCAACCCTGGAGGGGCCGGAGCAGGAAGGGGAGGGAGCAAATTAGAGGAACAAAAGAACCCTCATACCCTTGGCCACCAAGGGCCTGGTCACCAGAACCAGGGGCCAGGCCACCAGTCAGGACTGAGCAGGGTCGAGGGGGTGAGGGTGAAAATCGGATGAGAGACCGAGGTCCCGGTTTGGACCACACCTGAGGGTGAGAGAGCTCAAATGTCTGAAACTGATCCAAAAACTAAGGATCTGCCAGGAGGTCACCAAAGGAAGAATAAGAGAAGCCAATAAAATGGGCTTAAAGGCTGTTGAGGAATCCAAATGAAACGGATTCATGATGATCCCTAGGTGAGACCAGCCCCTTCAACACAGAGAATTCATGATGATCCCTAGGTGAGACCAGCCCCTTCAACACAGCAGCTGCAGGAGCAGCATAAACGCAGGGAATTTACCATGGAGAGATCCGGGGTCGCAGAGTCCAGGACTGTTGGGTCCCCCGATCTCAGTGCCAGGAGCTCAGGACCTGGACCTCCATGGGGGCCCTTCCATCTTGGTGCCCCCACAGGCCAACAGCTTCTCCAGGGCCTTCCCCTGCTGCTCCGTGAGCCCAGGTCTCACCCGCCTTGACCAATAGGCCTCTCCTGACTTCAGGGTCTCCAGCCAGACCCTGAGCCAGCCCGAAGCAGGGTGGCCCCTGCTCCTTCCAGAGCTTCTGCAGGGAGAAGATCCCCCCTGGGAAGTGGCTTATTTCATTCCTCCATGGCTGCTCACTGCACAAGGGCATCCAGCTTGCCACGCCCTGGCACAGGGCGATGGGGCCTGCTTCTAATTCTCCTGGAGGCTGCCATTTGCCCACAGAGGGCAGGTGCAGACTTACACGGGCACCACAGCCTACCTGGTGGCACTGCCTGCCTCCCTTCCTCTGAGCACCTTCTGCCCAGCCCTCCCTCTGATTGTCCCAGCTGTTACCTTCCTTGGAGAAGGGGTCGAAGAGGGCAAGCTCGGCCTCAGTGAGGGGGCCTTGGGCAGGGGAACTAGACGCCTCCTCGGTGCTCCCACAGTTAAAGAGAAGATCCAGGGCCTCCTGGGCTGGGCTGGATGGCAGGGGGTCCGCTGAGGAGTAGATCATGGGGGACATTTATGTCTGCCCTTATGCCTTCACAGCTTTCAAAATGGAGCTATTTCACTGAATCCTAGCAGCAACCATGAGTGTAGACAAGCCCATTCTTAGGGTTTGTGCCCATTTTACAGATTAAGAAACTACAGCCTAGGTGCCCTG